CCCTCGGTCCTGAAAGGCTGCAAGCTGCCCTTGACGTCACTGCTCGTTGTGACCAAGCCCTGGGTTTGGTTGAGAACCTCCGTAAGCGCCAGCTTTGGCAGGCTGCTGAGTCCGTTGAGCACCTTGGGTTACGGCTTTCGCCTGCGTCCCTTCAGCCCCCGCGCCTGCGTGCTGGATGGGGCCCTGTCTTGGACTTAATTGCCCTCTTACCTCGTCTGCCTGGGGGTTTCGCCAAAAGGGCTAACGCCGCTCGTATCTTTATCAAGCCCATGTGGGAGTGGCCCCTTCCGTTGCTGCAGTCGCCGCCCTGGGATGTCACGCTTCGCCTTCAGCATGCCTTGCTTTGCAGTTGCTCCACCTGGTGGTGTCGAGCGCGTGTGTTCGCCGACCATGTTGATCTTCAGCCTCAGTATGGCAGTGCGGTGGCGGCCCTTACGCGTGCTGCTGCTCTCCCTTGCACTCCTCAGCTTTTGGCCTGTGTCAAAGTTCATGCTTTGCAGCTTGGGCTTGAAGTGCAGGAACCCGTTCGCGGCTCTTACACTCTTGGGGTTCCTCATGGCGACCGTCGCGCCCGCCAGCTCCTGTCCTCCGCGTTTCCTCCTAGGTGGGGTGGTATCGTCGATGGGAGTACACCGGCCGGTCAGCATGCGCTGCGCCTCCTGGCTCGCAATAAGTGCCTGAGCCATGTCAACTTGAGTCGTCAAGACGCTCCAGGCCTACTTGATGCTGATATCACGCTTTCCTCTGAGAGGGTCTGGCGCGATTGGGTCTCTTCCCTATCTCGTGATCATTGCCTTTTCCTCCGCATCTTCCGTGGGGGTGCAGTGTCCTCTCCCGCGCGCCGGCAAAGCATTCATGGCGCTGATACGTCTTGCCCTTATTGCCGCGTGCCTTGGGCCTCTTTTGGGCATTGGTGGGCCCATTGTCCGCAATTCCAGCCGATGCGCTTGCGTCTCTCTCGCGAATTTTCTCTGCCAGCAGGGTGGTTCGCGCGGCAACCGCGCTGCACTGCTAAATCCGGGTGGGTCGTCGTCCGAGCTAGCCCTGATCGGCAGCGCCGTGCTTGCATGCAGGTTGCGGCCTGCCGGCTTGGCATACACATCATTGCGCATACCTGGGAAGGCAATCCCCAGCTTGGTCTCTCCGACCGTGAAGCATGATTTCGGTTTAGGCTTCGGTGTCTGGCCTAATGGCTCCATGCTTTCTTTGTGGGTTTAGTCCCCTCGCCTTCCTTTTGGGTTTAGGTCCCTAAGCCCTTGCCTTTGAGCCCTCTGAGGCTCTGTTGCGGTGTCTCCGCTGTGCCTACTCGCTCCGGTGTAGCTGGGTTTAGGATTGTGTCTACCGTTAGGTTTCCTCTCACCCTGCCCCCTTGGGTTTAGTTCCTTGGGTCCCCGCCTGTCATGCTTCTGGCATGTGTTCGTGCCGCAGGGGCCTTTTTCCCTGGCCTTCCTGGCCGTGCAGCAGACCACCCACGGGATCGAGGTTACTGCACTTCAAACACTTTGCTGCGCAACTTACCCAACAACTATTCGCGCGACATGCTCCTCGCGATGTTAGACAAGCGTGGCTTTGCAGGCCCGAAACCTTCAACTCTAGACCCTAAACCCTAAACCCTAAACCCTAAACCTCTTGTAGGTTGAAGCTAGATGCGCTGTGTGGGTTGGGGATTCTCGGTTGGGGATTCCGGGTGGTAGGGTAGTACCCGGATCGGTGGTTGGTAACATGCATCAGGGGAACCTTCAACCCTACCCTAAGCCCCCTAAGCCGTAAACCCCCAAAACCCCTAAACCTCCTAAGCCCTAAACCCTAAACCCTCTAAACCTCCTAAACCCCCAAACCCTAAACCCCTAAACCCTAAACCCCTTAAACCCCTAAACGCTAAAACCCTAAACCCTAAACCCTACATACCCCCTAAACCCTAAAGCCCTACATACCCCCAAACCCTATAGACCAAC